CAAAAATGGACAGATCTTCCAAACAAAATATCAACAAAGATATTGTGGCATTGAACAATGCCCTAGATGAAATGGACTTAACTGATATATACAGAGCCCTCCATCCCAAAGAAGATTAAATACACATTCTTTACAAATGTACACAGAACATTTTCAATGATAGACCACATGATAGGACACAAAATAAGCCTCAACAATTTCAAGAAAATTGAAATCATACCAAGCATTTTCTCGGATCACAAGGGACTGAAGCTAGAAACCAACCCCAAGGAAAAAAACCCAAAACACTCAAAATCATGGAGATTAAATAGCATACTATTAAACAATGAATGGGTTAAGAATGAAATTAGGAAAGAAATCAAAAGGTTTCTGGAAACAAATGAGAATGAACTCACAACAACCTAAAACTGATGGGACACAGGCAAGGCAGTCAGTCCTGAGAGGGAAGTTCATAGTAATACAGGCATACCCAGAAAAAGATAGAAATATTACAAACAAAAACCTACCCTACGTCTACAAGAACTCGAGGAGCAACAACGAACAGGCCAGAGCAAGTAGAAGGAAGAAAATAACCAAGATCTGAGCAGAATTAAATGACATAGAGACTAAAAGCACAGTTTTAAGGATCAATTAATCCAAGAGCTGGTTCTTTGAAAAGATAAACAAAATTGACAAGCCTTTAAGCAGACTCATCAAGAAAAAAAGAAGCCTTGCCTGGCGTAGCTCAGTGGAATGAGCATGGGCTGCAAACCAAAGCATCGCAGGTTTGATTCCCAGTCAGGGGTCATGCCTGGGTTGCAGGCCACAGCCGCCAGCAGCCGCACATTGATGTTTCTCTCTCTCTCTCTTTCTCCCTCCCTTCCCTCTCTAAAAATAAATAAATAAAATCTTAAAAATAAAACAAACAGAAGCATTATTTGGAAAAAAACAAACATTTTAAAAAAACAGAAAGGAAAAAAGACAGAAGACCCAAATAAACACAATCAGAAATGAAAGAGGAGGGATTACAACTGACACGACAGAAATACAAAGGACTGTAAGAAATTACTACGAAGAACTATATGCCAAGAAATTTGAAACCCTAGGTGAAATGGACAAATTTCTAGAAAAATATAATCTTCCAAAACTCAATGAAAAAGAAGCAGAAAGCCTGAACAAACCAACAACAGCAAAAGAAATTGAAGCAGTAATCAAAAAACTCCCCACATACAACAAAAGCCCTGGAACAGATGGTTTCACAGAAGAATTCTACAAAGCATTTAAAAAAGACCTAACTCCTATCCTTCACAGACTATTCCAAAAAATCCAAAAAGATGAGACACTCCCAAACTCTTTTTATGAGGCCAACATCATCCTAATTCCAAAACCAGATAAAGACACAACAAAGAAAGAAATCTTGAGGCCAATATCACTTAGGAACACTGATGCTAAAATTCTCAACAAAATACTGGCAAACCACATCCAACAATACATTAAAAAGACCATACACCATGACCAAGTGGGATTCATTCCAGGGGTGCAAGGATGGTACAATATTCACAAATAAGTAAATGTAATACATCACATAGACAAAAGCAAAGACAAAAACCACATGATCATAGCAATAGATGCAGAAAAAGCATTTGATAAGGTACAGCACCCATTCATGATAAAAACACTCAGCAAAGTGGGAATTGAAGGATCATTCCTCAATATAATAAAGGCCATATATGAGAGACCTTCAGCCAACATCATACTCAATGGGCAAAAATTAAAAGCTTTTCCACTAAGATCAGGAACACCACAAGGCTGTCCAATTTCACAACTTCTATTCAATATAGTACTGGAAGTTTTAGCCACAGCAATCAGACAAGAAAAAGAAATAAAAGGCATCCAAATCAGAAAGGAGGAAACAAAATTGTCACTGTTTGCAGATGACATGATAGTGTACATAGAAAATCCTATACACTCAGGCAAAAAACTGATTAACCTAATAAGTGAATTTGGCAAAACAGCGGGATACAAAGTCAATATCCAGAAACCAAAGGCATTTGTGTACACCACCAATGAAACAGCAGAAGCAGAAATCACGAAAAAAAAAAAATTCCATTTGAAATACCAAAAAGAAAAATAAAATACCTAGGAATAAACCTAACCAAAGAGGTAAAAGACCTATATTCAGAAAACGACGTAACACTGAGGAAAGAAATCAAGGAAGACACAAACAAATGGAAGACACAAACATATACCATGTTCATGGATTGGAAGAATTAATATCATCAAAATGTCCATACTACCCAAAGCAATTTACACATTCAATGCAATACCTATTCAAGTACCAATGGCTTATTTCACAGACATAGAACAAACACTTCAAAAATTTATATGGAACCATAAATGACCCTGAATAGCTGCTGTAATTCTGAGAAAGAAGAGGGATCACAATACCTGACACTAAACTATACTACAAGGCCATTGTAATCAAAACAGCCTGGTACTGGCATAAAAACAGGCACATGGACCAATGGGACAGAACAGAGAGCCCAGAAATAAACCCAAGTCTCTACGGTCAATTAATATTTGACAAAGGAGGCAGCAACATAAAATGGAATAAAAATAGCCTCTTCAAAAATGGTGTTGGGAGAACTAGACAGCTACGTGCAAAAAAATGAAACTCGAGCACCAACTTACACCTTATACAAAAATAAATTCAAGGTGGATAAAAGACTTAAATATAAACCGTGACACCATTAAAGTCCTAGAGGAGAACGTAGGTAGGAAAATCTCAGATATTTCACACAGAAACTTTTTTACTGACATGTCCCCTAGGGCAAGGGACTTAAACGAAAGAATAAACAAATGGGACCTCATCAAAATTAAAAGCTTCTGCACAGCTAAAGAAAACAGTATCAAAATAAAAAGAGAACCAGCTGTATGGGAAAACATGTTTGCCAATGATACCTCAGACAAGAGTTTAATCTCCAAAACATATAAAGAACTTAAATGGCTCCACTCTAAGAAGACAAGCAACCTAATTAAAAAATGGGCAAAGGACTTGAACAGACACTTCTCCAAGGAGGACATACAGAGGATCCAAAGACACATGAAATGATATTCAATATCACTAGCTATCAGAGAGATGCAAATTAAAACCACAGTGAGATACCACTTCACACCAGTCAGAATGGCCATCATAAACAAAGCAACAAACAACAAGTGTTGGAGAGGTTGTGGAGAAAAGGGGACCCTAGTGCAGTGTTGGTGGGACTGCAGTCTTGTACAACCACTATGGAAAACAGTATGGAACTTCCTCAGAAAACTAAAAATGGATCTGCCTTTTGACCCAGAAATTCCACTGCTGGGACAATATCCTAAGAACAGTAAAACACCAATACAAAAGAACCTTTGCACCCCGATGTTCATAGGAGCACAATTTACAATAGCTAAGTACTGGAAGCAACCTAGATGCCCATCTGTAAATAAATGGATCAAAAAACTATGGTACATTTACACAATGGAATTCTATGCAGCAGAAAGAAAGATGGAGCTCCTACCCTTTGCAACAGCATGGATGGAGCTGGAAAGCATTATGCTAAGTGAAATAAGCCAGGCAGTGAAAGACAAATACCATATGATTCACCTTTAACAGGAACCTAAACAACAAAACATAGAAACAAACATAATATAACCAAAGACACTGAAATAGAGGACAGGCTGACAGTGACCAGAGGGGAGAGAAGAGCGAATTTCTGGGGAGAATGGGTAGGGTCTACAGGAACAAATTTAAAGGACACATGGACAAAAACAAGGCGGAGGGTGGTAATGGGAGGGAAGTGGGGAGGGATGGGTGGGTGGGCTGGAATGGGAGTAAAAGGGAGAAAACTGTATTTGAATAATGATTCAAATAAAATTTTAAAAAAGATATTTACAAATTAAAAAATAAGGGCAAATATATAATCTCATACCATTTCCTACCACCAATATTTTAAGAGTAATTCCTTTACAAGATTAAAAAGCATGTACTTTAAAACAGTCTAAATTTCAGCATTATACTTAATTAAATAATTTGTCTACACAATCAGGAGTAGAATAAAAATGCTCCTACCAACATCTTTATTTAATATTGTTTTTAGGAGTTCTAGACAATATAAGAAGGTATGAAGTGAAAATATTCATAATAGAGAAACAAAAGTGTCACTATAAGCATATAAAATAAATAATGGCATAGGCAAAGGTTGAAAACAAAGAAAAAAATAAAAGATTTCAGCATAACCACAAGTGAATAAAAAATATTATTATGTACTAGCAATAACTCGCTTAAAATACAGTGAGAGGAAAAATCATGTTCACAGTAGAATAAAAAATTATAAAGCACTTTAAATTAGTTCTAATGAAAACTCTGTGACCCTGATAAAACTCTAAAAATATTTACTAGGAGATAGATAAGAACTTGACTAACAGGATAAATAAATTAAATTTCAAATAAGCAGACTAAAATACCATATTTCAAATGGATATTTCATTGCTATGTTGGAGGGAATTGAAAAAAACAATAACTCTAAGTTCCTCTGATAAAATAAAAATGTCAGGCTTTTAGACATAATTGTGAAAATTAAGGGTAATATAGGAGACCTAACTGTCCCAGACTTCATAGCTTACTATTATATAATGGTTCAATTATTAAAATAGTGCTATACCAGAGTAACAAGAGACATACTACTATGTGGAAAAGACTAGAAGGTCTGAAAACAGACTCTATTACATATAAGAATTCAATACCTGATGAAAGAGAAGTCACATATCAATAAGTGAAAAACATACTAAGGTGGAAAAGGGTCAATGTATATCCCCACCTAAAATAAATTATAACCCAAGATAAACACCAGGTGAATTATTAAATATACCAAGTCAACCCCTTTTACCCTCCAAAAATACAATTATAAATGTGTCAAAGCCTTGAAAGGATGATTATTCTAGACTTGGGAATACATTCTGTGAAGCAGAAGAAACAATAAGCCAACATGGAGTCGCGTGCCTCCAAGACAGTAAGACTTAATTTCAGTTTCAGCCCCTCCCAGGAAGGTGACCTTAAACCAATCAGTCTAAAATTTTCTGACTAACACCAGTGAGGTAATATGCCTAATTAGACTCCCACCACCATCCTCCAAAGGCAGGTCACCTTGTCTGAAACAATCCTTTCTTTTTTTATATAATAACTTTGTCCTGCTTAGTTTCTGCCTATAAAAACCTTCTATTTTGTACTGCTTGGAGTGCCTATTTAGTAGGTGGGATGCTGTCCAATTCATGACTTGTTCAATAAAGACAACTAGATCTTTAAGTTTATTTAGTTGAATTTTTGTTCGTTAAAAATACTAATAAAATTTTAGAAATTATGGCATGTTTAATTCATTTTATTATTTTTTAAATTAGCTTTTAAAACATCCTAAAAAAAGGCATGAAAAAGAACTTAAAATTGAGGAGCATGTCCATAAATAAAAGGAAAGTATTCACTCTAAAAAATTACCAAGTAAGTGCAAGTTAAAATAACAGTGGGTCACTGGTTTTGTTTCTCTTATTAAATGGACCTCGTAGGATTATTCATCATGGATGGGATGTTAAATTACTACAATATTTCAGGGGCAAAGTGGTTTTATGAGGAGACATTTTAACTTTCCTATACCTCTCAGGAACTCCATTTCTGGCCAAATACCCCAAACAAAAATCCCAAAACATGGACAAACATGTGCAAAGATGTACTTTGCAGCATTTTCTTTCATTAGAGAAAAACCTCAAGTGAAAGAACTTAAAAAAGTTATTCAAAATAATTTGGTGAATTATGGTACATCTATGTACTCCTGGATTATGATGAAGACAGTAGACTGATTTTTTTTCAAAACTATGTGGCAATAAGAAAAATATTTAGGATATGTAGAAATATTGAGTAAAAAAAAACAGGACTGAAAACAGTATCATACTACAATAACTGTTTTTGAAAGCATGTATATTTAAATTGTTTTAAAAACTGTAAATACATTTTCAGAAAACAAGATAGGGAAAAGGGAACAAACAACAAACAATGATGGCAGCTCCAAGGACTGACTGACTTGAGATGCAAAGGCTCCTTGTACGGGGCTCCTCACTGCATCTCTTCCTTCCGCATTCCACATCCCAAGTCCCCAGCCCTCAGCCCAAACCCCCACACCCCATCAGCCCTCTGCCCACCCCCTGCCCATCCCCCCACGACCACCCACACACCCCCAACCCTCTTTCCTCCACCTTCCACCCACCCCCAGCCCTCCACCATGCCACTCCAGCCCTGCCCTCTGCTCTGCCCTCCACCACTCCGCCCTCCTGCCACCTCAATAGCCACCCATACCCACACCCTATTCAGTTGAAGGAAGTGCTTCATGTAGAGAGGACTGGTGGGTCAGGGGAACTGTGCCTTGTACTCTCCCACCTCAGCTCTGGAACTGGATTTGGCCCAGCTCTCCGCCCTCCTGCCACCAGGATAGCCACCCCTACCCACAACCCCATTCGGTTGAAGGAAGTGCTTCACGTAGAGAGGACTAGTGGGTAGGGAGAGCTGTTCCCTGCACTCTCCCATCTCTGCTCTGGAACTGGATTTGGCTCTGCCCTCCTGTACAACCTCCGTGGCCTCTATGCTAGATGTCTAGCTCAAGGGTGCCCTGTGTATGGTCTCTAGACTACCTTGTAGTCTTTACAAGAGCTTTGAAATCTCACAAAGGCCTTCTATTCTAAACCACGTGAAAAAGCTTTATAATCTCACCCCTACCCATCCAGAAATGCCTTAATACCCGGAAGTACTCCGATATACCGTAATAGCTTTGGACAAAAAAAAAGTGCTAAGTAATATCAGAAGTACGCCGTAGTCTTGGACGCCAAACTGAGCATTCAGTAAATCCTCCAACCTTGCAACTTCTTGAAAGCACTGAATCACAAACTCAGTGCAGGGTCTCTGATATCTCTGGAAAAGTGAGAACTATGACAGGCAAGTGAAAGAAAGGGGGCCAATCCGTAGGCCATTGGAACATCACAAAGTCAAACACCATAGGAGCGGTACAGAGGTAGGGTCCCCAAGCAAATGCAAATGCCTCTAGGAGCCCAGTGATGTGGCCCTTTGTAGCTGGCCACCTCATAGCTTTGAATCACATTCAGGAGAAGCCAGCATCCCTGAGTGTCTGAAAGCCCAAAGGTTTTCCAGGGTTTATCCCACCAGGGAAATTCCTTTGCCTCCAATTCCTCGGGCCAAGGTGCAGATGAAGCGGCACCCAAAGACTGCCTGATTCAGAGCACTCCGGATTCCTTTTGTCTTTGAAATCCTTTCGGTGTTGCCCCCTACAAACTCCGCCAGCCCCTTTCTAGAAATGGCTTCTCTAAAGGATACATACAGCTTACAAATTAATTCCAAATACAGTTCCCATAATCCCATGAACTCTAAATTTGTAGCCAAAGCTGAGGCTCAAAATGGTAACAGTAAGGAAACAAACAAGGTCCAAAGAAATGAAGGTAGAAAGAAAGACCAAGGCTCTTCAGTGACCTATGGGTTAGCTATCCATAGCACCTTGGTGAAATCAATGCCAAAAGGAAAGGAGGAGGCTGCTGCTACTACAAAACCGAGTGCTAGTGAGCATCCCAATCCTGGAGAAAGACCAGCTAGTGCTGTCACCTTCTCTGTTACCCAGAAAAAAAAAAAAGTGTCAGCCCCAGAGGTCAGGGTGAAGGAAAAGGTTCTGCCAAATATCAGCAACTTCTATGACAGAAAAATACTTGTAGATCCTCAGGAGAAACCCAGTGAGAAGCCACTTGATGACTCAAAAGCAGTCATCTTTGAAAAAGGCTCTCCCACCCTAAAATTTCAAGGCAAATGTGACTCTTATTCAGAAAACCAAAAGCATGAAGAAAGGGGTGTGTTGAGTAAGCACCCCTCTTCAGGAAATGACTGCTCTAATGTGGTTAAGATTTCTGCATTCAGATTCTCTCAGGAGGAGCCAGACTCATTGAGTCTCCCAAGAATTTTAAAGCCTTCATCCTTCACCACTGACCATGTCGTGTACCAGCCTCCCTTGTACAGTGGTCCTTCACATGACATTGTCAGCTACTGGACCAACTGTCCTATGCCTTTTCACTCTCTTTCCATGGGCAGCAGCAACAACAATACATCCCAGGCTGGGAAGAGCAGCTGGAGCTTCTTGTGTAATTATTCCTCCAGCTCTACAGTACACTCCCAAAACTGGTCCATAGATCTGAAGGCAGCAAACAAAGGTCTTTCCCAGAATTCTTGTTTACTTCATTTTCCCAGAAGTTCAGAAGCCATGGCAAGGGAGAAAAGAACATTCCAAGAGGAGACAACATCACGTCCTTGGGAAGGATATGCATCTAATTCCCTGTCAAGGAGCCACTGAGAACAGTCTGAAGAAGGGTTTCACTGATACCCATTGTCACTTGGACATGCTCCATTCCAAATTGTCTTTCAAAGGGACCTTTACCAAGTTCAGAAAAATGTATAGCCATTCCTTCCCTAAGGAATTTCAGGGCTGCATCTCTAATTTCTGTGATCCTCCTACAATGAAGGATGGTCTATGGGAAAAGCTGTTGAAAGAGGATATGGTTTGGGGAGCCTTTGGCTGTCACCCCCATTTTGTACATTACTACAATGAATATCAAGAAAGAAAGATTTTGAAAACCTTACAGCATCCCAAAGCTGTAGCTTTTGGAGAAATAGGCTTGGATTACTCTTATAAGTGCAGTATACCTATCCCACAGCAGCACAAGATATTTGAGAGACAGCTACAGCTGGCTGTGTCCCTAAAGAAACCACTGGTGATCCACTGCCGAGAAGCTGACAAAGATCTGCTGGACATCATGAAAAAATGTGTGCCCCCTAACTACCATATCCACAGGCATTGCTTCACTAGCAGTTACCAAGTCATTGAACCCCTTTTGGAGTACTTTCCCAACATGTTTGTGGGCTTCACAGCAGTCCTGACTTGCACTTCTGCCTGGCAGGCCCGGGATGCTCTGAAAAAGATCCCACTAGAGTGAGTTGTCATGGAAACTGACATTCCCTATTTCCTTCCTTATGGGATTCCCAAAAGCCTTTGCCAGTATGCCCACCCAGGCCTGGCCCTGCATACAATTCAAGAGATTGCCACAATCAAAGATCAGCCACTCTACCATACCTTAGCCACCTTGTATAAGAACACTAGTCTTCTCTACAATGTTTAAGCAGAGAGGGCAGTCAGAATTTTCCAAAAAAAAAACAAACAGAGAGACATTGTCTCTCTGGGTTGACATTGTAAGACTTGCTTTGAACTCTTCCTGTGCCCCAGGACAAGGATGTATTTGGAGTTACAACATAGACTTGCTTTGAACTTTGCCTGTGTCCCAAGTGAAGGATGTGTTCAGCAAACCCACTGGCACAGCAAAAACCAGGGCAGGGTGTTTTGCTCAAAACCTCTTCAGAAGACTTCTGTGCTTCTGTCTGGTATGTTATGGTACAATGGGATGGGAGGAAGGGTAAGGGGATCTTCCCTTGATTTTATCAGGGTTTTTCCTCCTAGCCAGACTGTGCCAGCATAATCAGTAAAAAGGTAAGAATTCCACTGGGTATGAGTTTGCTAATCCAAATTGCTGTTCTCTGCAGCCTAGGTTTCTGAGCAGTTGGTAAATAAGATTACCGTCCTACTTGTTTTTTAAAAGAAAGCAAGGAATGTTGAATTTTGAAATTGAGCTAGGTGATTTGTTCTGTTTATTCCCTAAATTTATTTGTCATAGGAATTCTACAATCCATATGGGTTGTTGTTAAATTCATAAATTCAGTGACTGTTTAATTTGTAGTTTCTTATTTCTACAGATAAACAAGCACTGGCATTTAATCTAAAAGGAAATTGATTTAGATTACAATTAGTCAGTTAATAGTCATAAATATGCCAAGAAAGGCTATAGAGGAGGTTAGAATGATGGGGGCCAAACCAGTTCAATCTTAGAACAGCACTGAGAAGATGAGGGTTTTTTTAAGATTTTATTTATTTTTAGAGAGAGGGGAAGGAAGGGAGAAAGAGAGAGGGAAACAACTATGTGTTGTGGCCTCTCATGTTCCCCCTACTGGGGACCTGGCCTACAATCCAGGCATATGCCCTGACTGGATATGGAGCCAGCAACCGTTTGATTTGCAGGCAGGTGCTCAGTCAACTGAGCCACACCAGCCAGGGCAGGAGATGAGTTTTCAATCTGAACTGAATTCCCAAATATGTGCCATTTAGAAATCCTGTTCTCCAGAAGGGTTTCAAAAGCATCAACAGGACAGAAACAGAGAAGAGCTTCAGCTCTCCACTTGCCAAACAGCTGTTCTTTCTGAGAAATTAAAATGAATCCACATTTTAAGGAAAATATTTGAGCTACAAAATTTAACTTTGCCAGCCAGAGCACACACCTAAATCCAGAAGTCCCATTATCGGCTGAGAAATATCATTTTCTTAATGTAAAATCTCTTTTGCTCTAAAAAAAATGAATAAATGAAGATAGGCCCAAAATACTACAGAAGTCTCTAGTTCCCTTTGTGCCCTTTTATCTGGATCAAGAAAAATCAGCTGGCTCCTTACCACTTGGTTCTCAGCTCAGAATTCCCCTTCACAGAGAAGCCCTCCCTGGCCAGCAATCTATAGGGTTCCTCTCACCTGGGAGGAAAAAATCCTTGGCTTATTGTTTTGATTTAATTATAGCATTTAGAACTGTTTAAGATTGTGTTGTTAATTTATATGTTCATTTGTTATCTTCCCCACTAGATTTTAAGTTTACAATCTTGTCAGTCTCATTCATACTGTACGTATATAACCCAATGTAAGAATAATGCCTGAAACAGAGCAGTCAGCAAAGACTTCTTTAATTAAGATGAATGAATAACAGACTTCATTAACACCTGGGAGTTAATGACTATATTTGAAATGGGGCAGATATTAGGAGAGAACAGAAAAATAAACCATCATATTTCTAGCACCCTTCTTTAATTCAAAAGGCAAAGCAATAATTAAAGGCCACCTATATTAGATGTCACCCATAATAAAATAAATAAGGTCAAGCTCTACCAGGGACTTGACAGTTCATATTCCCTATAAATAACACTGAGTATATCATAGAATCTCCTCTCTGTTTAGAAACTAGTCTTTCGAGAAGACTTTCTAACTGGAGTGTTTCACTTCCCTTTAATACAGCAAAAGAAGTTGATACAGTGTTAAAGATGTGATTTGATTCTATTCTTTGAAGACAGACAAAAACCTTCAAAAACTAAGTCAATGTTCCTAATTAAGGTTTTTTTTTTCCATTTAATGTACACTTTCAATAGACATTGCTCAAAGTGTGTCCCTCAATCCATAGGAGCCCTGAGCTTTTTATAAAGGATTACAGAAAAGAAGTTTCCATGGACACATATTTTCAGGAAATACTGAGTTGTACAAAGTTCCACAGATTTCATTTTAAATCTCAGGATCTTGTATGTCCTTTGATATGTTAATGTGAGCCACAAACACCTAAATGTTATTTCTCAAAGTTACTTTTAGATTAATGTGTTTAATTTGAGGTACAATTCAATGAACTCAAGTTCTTTGGGAACATAAACTTAGGAAATGCTACCTCAGTCACACTCTCACTATTACAATGCCCTTATATTTTGTACGTATCTCCACTCGTCATGCTCTAATATCCTGTTTCACTTACCTTTCTAACTACATAAGATCCCTGGAGAAAAAAAAATGTCATTTTTCTGGTCCTAGCAAAGTGACATTACCAAGTAGGAATTTTAAAAATGGGTGTGCATAAACCGTTGCGTTTGTAAGAACACTTTCAACAAGATAAAGAGGATATATACATAATTAAAGTTATTTTCATTTCCAAAAATAAGATTGCCTTTTTATATGGAGAAAGTGTTTTGTGTGGTACTTGGTGTTTCTACTCTCCTGTTCTGGAGGTATCAGAAGGCCATGAAGGCAGCCGTTGATCTAGAAATTCAATTTGCTGTTAGTGGTCCCTGGGCCATCAGTCAGTCTGGAGTCACAAGGCCTCTTAAGCCCATTAACTGGCTCTCTGAACCTTGGCAGTCTTTCCACTGCACATCAATAGTTTGCTTGACTTAAATTTTAGAAAGGCAGCTACTTCTACCTTTAAAGCTAAAAAGGAACAAACTGCCTACTTTGTTTTAGGAGCTGGGGGATCCTGGTGTTTTCAGTTGGTTTTATTCATACCTGTTGTAAAAATTAGTATTTGTTTATTGTAGATTTTTTGAGACTACTAAAGAGCAAAAAGTGGAGAAATAGTCTATAATCCCACTACTTAGAGACAACCACTTTAACAGTAGGAATAGCTTTTTGGCGCTTCCTCTAATATTATTGGCCAATACCAGCATTGTTTTAGTCAATTTTGCTAATTAATATTTACTATAATATTCACTTCATATTAGCATAAGCTGTACATTTTACTCTCTGAATTTGTAATTTAAATATATTATTTTGTGTATTTTTGTTTGCTTTCCTTATCAACAAGCTACAAGTTTAATTGTTTTAAAGAATCAACTCTTAGACTTGTTCAAATCTATTCTGTTTACCGATTTATAAAATTCTGCTTTTAAGTTTATGATTTTTTTCCTTCAGTTCTCAGATGTCTTTTAGTGTGTGTGCTTTTTCTAATGCCTTAAGTTAAATGCTTAGTTTGTTTTTATTTGGGATAGGAAAAGAATAAAGCATTTAATGCCATAAATTTGCCTGTAACTCTGCTGTATCTATAGGAATTTTATTTTAATAAAGTTTACCACTGTAAAAATAATGCATATGCATTACAAAGATACAAAAATAGGAACAGAAAGAAGTACAGAGTATTTCTACTACCTAGAACCCCCTATTTTCTTAATCTTTCCTAATGTGATAGTGATTATTTAGCTATGCCAAATTATATATACTTTTAAAAAATGCATATGCTTTCACACCCATATTTACTGAAGATTAACATACCACAAAATCCCATCACCAGTCTATATACAATGTTCATGTTCTGACACAGTTTCATTTACAATCATTTTTTAAAAACATAGTTAAATACACAAAGCATATATGTTTATTAAGCAGAGTTAAAGAACATTTACAGAAAAAGGTAATATAAACCTAAACTTTTTGCCCTAGCTAGTGGCTCAGTGGATTCAGTGCCAGCCTGCAAACCAAAGGGTCGCCAGTTCCATCCCTGGTCAGGGCACATGCCTGGGTTGTGGGCCAGGTCCCTGGTGGGGGCACCAAGAGGCAACCACACACTGATGTTTCTCTCTCTCTTTCTTCCTCCCTTCTGCTCTCTCTAAAAATAAATAATCTTTGAAAAAAGGATAAACTTTTCTCTCTTGTTATTTTTCATTTTTAAAGAATTGTCAGTTCAAGTATTAATTCTAAAAGGTAATACATACTGAAACATACCTAAATAGAGAAAAGTAATATACTTTTCCTTTTTATATCCCTATCTTGTATTTGGGATTCATTGTATTATTATTTTGTCTTCCCATAAATATTTCAAATGTTTACATTCTCTTTTGAACTTTAAATTTAAAGTTTATTTCATAGTTACTTATAAATTTGTTTCCATTGCTTATCACTAATCCTTTTATTTCATGACTTTCCCATAGTTGAACTGTTTAATTTGCTTTATAATTGGCTGGAGTACATCCTCAAGCATTTTTCTTAGAAAAAAATATGTGCATGGTAATATTTGTGAGGAATTATATATCTGAGAACATCTTTATGCTGCTTTCACTAATGAATAACACTTTAGCTAAGTCTAGAATTTCTGGGCCACAAACATTTTTTCCTAAAAGCAATCAAGAGACACTGTTTCATTGTCTTCTGGCATTCAATAATGCAGACAATATGACATCAACTTCTCCTTCTTTGGGGTTAAACTACTTTTCTGTCAGAATGCATGGTGAATTCTTTGCCTTATCCTTGAAATTAACATAAAATTGCAAGGATATATCTAATCATTCATCTTTTATTATTTTCTCCGGTACATAACAAGCATTCCATCTGCAGATCTATGTCTTTTTATAGTGGAGAAAGTCAGTTTTGTTTTTATTATGTTCTTATGGTATGCTTAGTTGATTCAGTTGTTTTTAACCTAATTTCTAACTCTTTAGGAATAATTGTCTCTATATAAGAACACCACTCTCTGTCCAACCTTTCCATATCTGTCTCACTGCT